TTTCGCCGACTGTTAAGCCATTTTGTTCTCACCACCAAAACAATTTAACCTCGTCCCCACGTTTTCTCGGTTAACGGTTCAATGATTTGTAACTTTGGCTGCCCTTTTGACGTCATCGGTTCAATATGACAAAATTCTTTCCAAATTAACAGTGGCTCTTTATGATGAATTATTATTCATTCAAAATATTTCCTCGATTCTGATTGGCTAAAGGCACATGCATAATTCACCATAACCAGCTACTGATCGTCAAATTTGGAAGAATTTTGCGATTAATCAACAGAGGACGTCAAAAGTGCAGCTTCCTTGCAGGTTAATGCACCGTTAACCAAGAAGACCTGAGGACGGGGTTGAGTTTCTTTGGTTGTGAAGACAAAATGACGGACATTTCACTCGTTTCAAGAGTAAGACCTAGGCGAAATAATGACTAAAAACATGGCAAGAACAGCAAGAAGACAACTCGAAGGGCGACATCTGCCAACTGGAGAATATTTGCGGAGCTGAACAACCCTAAACGTGCACTATCGAAGATGAACTTAACATCGATGGAGTTAAATATGTTTCAGCTATGTTTTAAAACTGGGTATTATTTTGAATGAATACTGAATAAAACAGTTATTGAATTCCGCTTTCGTGTATCATATGAAGAATTATGGAGATCTCGGAGGGTGTTATCCGCCTCGGCCACACCCTCCTCGATCTCCATAACTTTTCATAAGATATTCAGTCTCATTCATTAATTGTTAATTACGTGTGTGCTTTTAGCCAATCAGAAACGGAGAAATATTTTGAATGAATAACAACGTAATATATTTGTTCTATCAATGCCAAACAAAATTAATCTTGAATAAACCTCTCACCGTGTCTTGAACTCTTTAGGCCACGTGCGTTCACTTTCCTCTCTTTGATTTGAACAAATTTCATGGATGCTCTTGAATATAGAAGCTTTTTACGAACATAAGGGATGTGTTTTCGAAAGTCAACGAATTTTCTTTGTATCTAAAAGAAATTAGAAAAGTCAAGAAAAGTCAATGAAATATTTGAGGGTGGATTCATTAATTTGCAGCATACGCGTATAGCCTTCGAATTTGCTCGTTGGAATTACTGTTTTTAAAGTTCAAAAACAATTAAAAATTCCAGCTGGCAAATGCAAAATAAATGTAACGCCATTCGCGATATCCTTGTTCTGGGTCCCCAACGGACTTAACGAATTACCGGAAGAATTTCCTTTCATCCCGATTGGCAAATATCCTGGTACACAGGTGGGAGACCAGAACAATGATTTTGGCGCTGTTTCGCAGACGGACTTAACCACAGTTTAGTTTCGTCTGTAACGCAGGCTACATACGCGTATGTGGCAAATAAATCTATTGACCTGTATCAAATGCTGTATCACAGGCTCGACGTCAACCTATTTTATTAGCAGGAAGTTCGTTGATTATTAGGAACTGAGTAAGTGTGTTCAGTGCGCATTTTTCAAAAACGCCAAAGACGGAAATAGTCGAAGTGCGGCCTAAAAACATAGCAAGAGCGGCAAAAATACGACTCGACTGATTACAACTGCTTTTTGAAGAATATCTGCTAGAATAGCTGACCCTCCGAGATCTGCATAATTCTTCAGACCATAAAATAGCCGGATTCAATAAATGTTTTATTGTTCATTAGAAAAAAATATTCCTAGTTCAAAAACAAGCTAAAAGATGCTTGCGTCGATCGAGGTTTTAAACATAATAATAATAATAATAATAATATTTATAATAATAATGAATATGTATATGGCGCCTATACTTTTCAGTGCTAATCGCTTTACAATGCTTCAAAAAGGTCTAGATGAGAAATAAAAATCCTAGAATCATTTACATATATACATTATACATAGTCACAAAAATAAAAAATAAAAAGCCGAAGATAGTAAACGTAAACGTAAACTCGATTAAAAAGAAAAGTCTTCAATTTAGATTTAAATTTATTTACATCATCGATCAATCTAATGTCAATAGGCAAATCGTTAACGTTCCCGAGTATAGGGGCAATGGCTGAAAAAGCCCTTAAACCGTATGTCTTTAAGTTATAGGGTTTAATAACAAGACGCCACTTGTCTGATGATGAGCGAGGGTACCTCGCAGGTTCATAAACATGGATTGCAAGGTCAACCAAATAATCAGGAGCTAAATTGTTGAGTATCTTAAAACAAATAAGATTAATCTTAAAGATTATTCTTTGCTCCACTGGTAGCCGGTGCAACTCCTTTAGAGTATCACTTATGTGATCAAACTTTAGCAGACAATCACACGCGCTGCAACGTTTTGGACGCTTTGCAGTTTGTTAATTTCATACTTGGGAAGACCATGTAAAAGCGAGTTGCAGAAATCCAGCTTTGAATTTATGAATGCGTGCACAAGAACTTCAGCCGTTGTGACATTGATATACTTACGAATCTTAGCTATATTTTCAAGGTGGTTGAATGCCACTTTAACTATGTTGTTAATATGAAAAGACATCGTTACGGTGTTATCGAAAGTGACGCCGATATTACGCCCCTTATTTGTAGGCTTGATGACGTTTTTTATTATATGGCCTTCCATTATGGACCTGGGCCTGCGATCAATTAAAAGGAATAAATGGTCAGCAGATAACTTCAAAAACTCGTCATTTCAATCAGTTGTACACTTGGGTCTGCGATACAGTCAGGTGACACTGGTCAGCGGATACCCCTTTTGAGAGCTGTCAATTGACCATAACATGGATGTGCTAGCAGGCCTTGCTAGAAATGCCAGGTCATTACTAGAAAACAGCCAATCAGAGCGCGCGTACTATTGTAGACAAAAAATAATATGTATTATGAACACTCTAATTGTTAATGAAAATAAATAGAGGATTATACATGGCCTCGCAGGGATACGAATTTTATCTTCGAGTGCTGAAAGTATCTCTCACTCGTCTTTGAGCACGAGAAGATAAAATTCGTATCCTCAAGCGGCCATGTAATATTCTGTTTATTTTATAGTTACTGATGAAATTTGTACATAAAACACAACTTTTTTTAATTCATTTTCGAAACAGCAAAATAGTGCAATTAAAGTGGTCACCCTCTCGCGAAAATTTGCCTGTCACAAAAATTTGGCAGCTCTTCGAGAAAGTCACCGGTAACTTTACCGTCTTCGCACCTCGAAGCCATTTTGTGAATGAAATTTCAAAAGAACCGGCCGCGCGCCTGAGCGGGAAGCTCTCTTGTAATTGGCAAATCATGTTAGTAACCATGGCGACACCAATAGCCGCACACGTGAAAGATAAAAATAGTATCTTCACTGCGCGCGATCAGAAGATATGATTTTTTAGCAACAGGAAAAATCCTGGTATTTCATCAGTATCTATATAATAAATCGATCTTCAACACCATTTTTTTGGTAAAAGTCGATAAACTTGCAGTTCTCCCTGATCGCCTTTTTTTATTATTACCGTGAACTTCTTTTCTTTTTAAGAATATTGTTTTCCGGCCTAGGCTGAAGATTTTTATTCTTCTGCCGATTTTAGATTAAAATGTTCTTGTATTATTCTTCAATTATAGCTTATGGCATTTCCCTTTTAGAATATATAATGGTAATAGGACTGAGTGTAGTCCAATTCGAGTGATTAAAAAAATCGGACGTCCGCGTAGCACAAGTCCGATTTGTTTAATCATGAGTATGATTACAGACCGAATTGGACGACAAAAGTTCTGTTACCAATTAATCGTAACTATAACAACATTTGTAATACTTTAGAGGCTTTTTTTGTAATTAAATCAAAAGAAATTCCGAAAGTTTTTGTTTTTGTTTTTGCTAACAGTGAAAAAATGTATTTACATTCGGCGGAGCTAAACGTAGTGGCAGTGACAGAGAATGTAAATACTTTCCTATTGGTATGAACGCACGTGAGCCGCTATGGCGTTAATTGACTCTATTGTTGTAAGGTATATAAGGTTTGACAGTTGTAATGTATTCATCTCAGCTCTCGAACTATCAAATTTTAAAATGCCGTCCGATGATGATCTCGCGCGAAGCATTTCCGAGCTCAAAGACGAGTTTTCGATCTGGTTTATCTTCTTTAAAGAGAGAACTTGCACAAGAACACGACGCTGCGCTGAAGAAGCTCAAGACAGCTACTGCTAGTGTTCCGAAGTTTTAAAAGAAAGGCAACGAGATGCAGTTCCTACTTAATTCTGAAGTTCTTGAACACGTCCAGTCTGCGTCGACCGCCCTTCAGGCGTCTTCGCCTTAAGTTGAAAAGGCCTTCGAAGAGTTAAAGGAAGGTTCCAATTTTTCGAACCCTTTCGTTACCGTCAATTGGCCTAAGGCTCACCGTGGTTCGCGTGTTGGCAGTGTTGGCAGTTTTGGCAGTTTCGGCCTTTTCAGGAATCAGTGCCCCGTCCTTCAGGCGTAGTTTTCACCTAGCCAACCTGGGAAACGTACGTGATGGACTCGGATGTTGGTGCACTCGTCGAGGACACAGATAAGTTAAGGAATTTTGTTGAAGATGATTTTGACTGTTTTTTGAATATGAACAGGGTCGTAGTTCTACTATCGTTGTAGCCGGTAGGCTAAAATCCCATATCATTGTTCAGTTTTGGCGTTCTATAGGCGCCAGTCAATTTATTCTAGATGTTATCGAGCATGGTTATCGTATTCCTTTCCACTCTACACCCCCTGTTAGTTTTTCTAGTCATAATAAGTCAGCTTTGACGCATTCTGATTTTGTTAACGAAGCTGTTTCCTAATTGTTGGTTACCAATCGCATTTTTGGATCGGAGGTCCTGCCCCATAACGTCAACCCTCTTTCCGTTTCTGTTCAATCATCTGGGAGGAAGAGGTTGATCTTGGACCTTAGGTTTGTAAAAAAGCATGTCTGGAAGCCAAAGGTCAAGTTTGAGGTTCTTAAGGTGGCTCTGAATTATTTTGACAAGGGTCATTTCATGTTTTCATTTGACATTAAGAGGGGTTATCATCATGTCCTTATCTTCCCGCCCCACCAGACATTTTTGGGTTTTTCCTGGTTTTACCAGGGTAAGGTCCGTTAGTTTTGTTTCAGGGTCCTGCCCTTCGGCCTCTGTTCAACCCCTTTTGTTTACACAAAGATTTTTAGGCCTCTCGTTGCCTACTGAAGGTGGGTTGGTATTCACATTGTCGTTTATATTTATGATGGTTTAGGGGAGGGGCCTTCATATCCGGTTGCTTTAGACCATTCCACCAGGGTTAAGACTGATTTGATTCGTTCTGGCTTTGTACCCTACCTCGAGAAATCTGTTTGGGTTCCTACATCAGCCCTTGATTGTTTGGGTTTCCCCATTGATCTTTTTCAGGGTTTCCTTTTTGTTCAGGGGATAAAACTCAAACGGGTTCTTTCTGATATTGATTCCATTTTAGAGGCTAATTGTTGCACTGCCAGGGAACTGTCCGTTCTTGCTGGTCGTATTACTTCCTTTAAACTAGCTGTAGGTAATGTTACAACCGTTGCTGACAAAGTTTATTCATATGTCCATCGTCTTTCAGTCTAGTTGGGACTCTAGGTTTCCTTTGTCCGATTCTGTCAAGAAGAGCTTTTTTATCTGGAAAGAGAACGTTCGGTGTTTGAATGGTAGGCCCACTGGGCGTCACTTTTCATGTTCTCGTACCATTGTTTATTCAGATGCTAGTGATCTAGGGGTTGGCGGTGTTGTTAAGACTACGAGGGTGTTATTTGTCATCGTCCGTGGACTGCTAATGAAATGTTTCCCAGCTATATTTGTCTCTCTAGTTTTTCCGTAGTTTTGTCAGGGCGCGCGATTTAATGGTTTACGGATAACCGCTACATTCCGTCCATTTTTTCGCAACGGGAGTATGAATCGGGGTTTACACGAAATTTCCGTCTATATTTTTCAGCTAGTTTTGCGAAATGGTATTGATTTGCAGGTGGACTGGATTCCTAGGTCTCTCAATGGGCACGCGGATGCCATCAGCAGGATCGTTGACTTTGATGATTGGGGTGTTTCGTTTGAATTTTTTCGCCTTGTAGACAACATTTGGGGTCCACTTCCGTAGATCGTTTTGCCCATTCTATACCGCAAATTGCCCAGATTCTTTTCTCGTTTCTGGTATCCTGACTTGGAGGGGGTGGATGCCTTTTGTTTTGACAGGGCGGGGGAGAATGACTAGCTCGTTTCCCCAGTGTCCCTTGTTCCCAGGGTTATTAGGCATTTGTTTGTATGTCGGTCCATGGGCGCTATTATTGTCCCCAAGTGGGTCTCAGCTCCATTTTGGCCCATGCTCTTTGGTCCCCATTCCCCCTTTTCCTTTTGCGTTAAAGAGACCATTGTTTTTTACCAATGTTTCTAATATTTTTGTTCCGGGCTCCACAGAGTCTATTTTTTATGGCCCTAACTTTAGTCTCATGTATTAGCCGTCCGTTTGTCGGCTTGTTAGATTTGTGCTTCTAGGCTTAGTTTCTTTTCCGCAGTTACGTGTAGTTATTGTTTAGCCTATATTAAGTGTGGTTTATTATTTTTGAGTGATTTGTTCTGTTTTTTCTTTTGCCTCGGTGGCATTTACGCGGGTCTCGGTGACCTTGTTTGTACCTTCACTGATCCCGACGAGTCGTACCGTTACATTCTTGCGTGACCTCGGTCAGTTTTGAATCCTTCCAGGTCCCCCATATATATGGTCGCGTGCGCCTCGGTGGCCACTCTCTTATTATGTATCTGTGTGATAGTTGTATGTTTTTTCACTACATATTACCGCGCGTTTCCTTTTTCTGCTCCTTTTTTCTCGTGCATCTTTTTCATTTTTTAAGTCCTTATATTGAATCCATATGGTCTTTTATTTCTTCTGTTTTTCAGATGTTTTTCGCTAGCCCTGTGTGGGCTGAGCTTAACGATGTCAGAGCTCCCTCCCTACGCTGCGTAGCAAAAAAGCTACCGGAGGTAGTCCTTGGTTCCAGGGCAGATTCGACTACTCTCACCTACCTCAACAGTTTTAAGCGATGACGTGCTTGGGCCAACAGATTTCCCGAGGTCGCAGTGCTGCCTGCTACTCCGGCTTACGTTTCTTCATACCTGCTCAGTGTTCTCCAGGCTTCTAGTTCTCCTGCGCCGGTCCAGAACGCTCTCTATAGCATCCGCTGGGCTCATGATTTTGCTGGTTTCGACTCTCCTACCAATCATACACTTCCCCAGAAGGTCGTGGAGTCCGCTAAGAGAAGGCTATTACACCTTACTTCCAAAAAGCTCCCCATTACACCCGAAATTTTACTAACGTTTTTTCAGAGTCTCGATGGATCTTTGGTGGACACGAGATTCATCGCCATGGCGTTACGTTACTGGCCTTTGCGGGGTTCTTAAGATTTGACGAATTGGCTAATCTGAAACTTAAAGATTTAGCTCTGCATGACACTCGTTTTGAGCTTTTATTGAAAGTAGTAAAACTGATCAATTTCACGAGGGCGCTATTGTCCCTATTGTCAAGTCTGGCACGGATTGTTTTCCCCTGGGGTAATTTAGAGAAGTGCTTATCGTAAGCCAAACTCACTTTACCGACATCTTCCCAAGGTGGAGACGACTATTTGTTCGGAAATATTCAACCAAGTCTGGCTCTTACAAGACATTTGGAGCCTGGGCGGATGGACTACAAGATGTAGAGAAGTTTTATTGAAGAAGACTACAGACGTGGGCTTAGATCTTAAGTCTTTCTCTTGGCACAGCTTCAGAAGTGGCGGTGCATCTGCCGCCGCTAATGGTGGTATCTCCGATAGAATGTTTAAGCGCCATGGTAGATGGCGTTCGGAAAACGCTAGGATGGTTACTTTGCAGACTCGATAGGAAATGTATTTACATTCGGCGGAGCTAAACGTAGTGGCAGTGACAGAGAATGTAAATACTTTCCTATTGGTATGAACGCACGTGAGCCGCTATGGCGTTAATTGACTCTATTGTTGTAAGGTATATAAGGTTTTGACAGTTGTAATGTAGTCATCTCAGCTCTCGAACTATCAAATTTTATTTTTATATCTTACTTTATTCATCTATCGATTGATTTTTTACCTTTAACCCCCAGAGGTTGTGCGACCGCATCGGTTGGGGAATACGTTCCCAATTTTTTCCCATTTAGTGGGGCAGATATGTGCAGATTTGGGGCCGAATTGTTCACTTTCTGTTAAAAGCACCAAATTTTCAGGAAATATAGGAAAAAACATGGGGATTAATATGTGATATGGTGCCATCGTAATTTTTCCTGTTAAACCGGTTTTTTGGACCGATTTCTTATATGGCCGCCATTTTGACCGGAAGTAGTGAAGCACCTAACCGGAAGTACATGAAAAAGCGGATATTTAGACAAAAATGATGATGAAATAGTTTAAACTGTGTTTTTCCCGATGTTTTTATTTGTATAAAATATTCAAATGTGTATAAATATTGTTTTTTAAGGGGAAAAACAAGAGTAAAAGCAATATAAACTGAAAGTTTAAAAAGCAATTCTTTATACAGAATGTAATAATATCACAATTCATATTTTTTGAAAACAATGAAGGAATAGATATATAAAAAGTGAATACCATCCGGAATCCCATTTACCATATTTCCTTTGCCACGATTCCTAATAGTAACCACAATGCTTTGCGTCGAAACTAATTTGCATATCAGCTCCGCCATTTTGTTTCATCTAAGTGGATATCTCGTTGTGCTTGTACTAATTCGAATAAATCGCTTTTGCCGTAACATCTGATAATTTGACAATTATACAAAATAAGTTACCTTTATCAAAGTTCGGAAAAACAAACGAAAAGTGAAGTAAACGCCGACCTAGCTCCTCTAGGTGAGCTGTAAGTATCAGGCATCAAGAACAGCTAGATCGATGCTTCATTCCAGGAGTGGGGAAGTGGCAATTAGATGATAAATTTATGTTCCAAAGACAACAGAGGAAAGGTTAAACTGAAGCTAGAGGATTCTTGCTGAACAACTTGAGCGTTCTCTGTTGCACGGAGTCATGGAATAGAAGCCCTTATCAACTGTAAGTATTGAGAACAATTAGAGTACGTTTACACTGGAGTACGTTTTCCGTATTCATGCGTCCCCATATCACAGTTCTTATGTATTTAACGTATGTTTAGCGCATCAGTTACCGTAATCCAAAAATATTCAATTCAGAATTGGATACGTGTTACCTTTTTTTCATAACGAATACACCACCAAACCAGGGACTTTAGCATTAAAGTTCCAGATTTGTAAGGAATGTTAAATCAGGCTTACTACAGATGAACTTTTAACTCTTTTAGATACAAGTACTTTTAAAGTGGCGAAACGATTAGTTTTATCTAATTTAAATAACTTTATTTTGTTTCAAACAGCCTCATGGATGACTGCAATCGTAATGTGACCGATTGGGAGCTCTGCGTTATCTGCCAAGAATCAAACAAGGAAGGACTTCAGTGCCCCGCGGACTCAAGGCGACCAGATAAAGGTGCAGGCTATAAAACACTTGCAGACAATTTGAAACAGTTTGCTGATCTGGGTTACATGCCCAAGGACGTAAATTTATCGCGACTAGATGAAGGCGACGGCATTGCGGCTGCATTCTTCAAACATAGGGCCCGCTATCACAAAAGTTGCTATGCTCTTTTTAACTCGACAAAACTGAAACGAGCCCAAAAAAGAAAATCTGAAGCCCCAGACGAGCCGCCAGCTGGCGGAAAGTTTACTCGCTCAAATGCATTGGCATACACAAAGGACACTAGTCCATCTTGTTTTTTATGCGAATCTGATAAACAACCACTTCATAGGGTTTCGACCCTTAGTCTCGATGCTAGAGTTCGGGAATGCGCAAATGTACTGAATGACGAAAAGTTGTTAGCTAAGCTTGGTGGCGAGGATTTGATCGCTCTTGAGGCGAGCTACCACGCCTCTTGTCTATCTATGCTGTACAGGAGTACAGAATATGCAAAAAGAGATGCCGTGCAAGGAGATGAAAAGCCACATCGTCTAGAAGGTATTGCCTTGGCGGATCTCGTGACGTTTATAGAGGAGTCGCGCACGAATAGCGGGGGAGAGCTACCTACATTTAAGCTAGCAGACCTAGCGAAGATGTATACCAATCGCCTGCAGCAGCTAGGGATGGAGAACACCGCAAGACCAAACAGTTCACGCCTTAAAGAACGTATAATTGCTCAGGTTCCTGATCTCCAACCTTACAATAAGGGACGCGATGTATATTTGGCATTTGGAGAGGACGTTGGGAATGCACTTCACAAGGTCCATAAAGAAGATTCTGATGATGAGGCCATACACCTTGCGAAGGCAGCTGCGATTGTCCGTAAAGACATACTTACAAATAAGTATTCATTTAATGGGTCCTTCGAACGAGACTGTCAACTGCGTTCTATCCCAGCATCCTTGTTATCCTTTGTTAACATGATCCTGTATGGTCCAAATATCAACGCTGAAGAGGGTAGTTTTTCAAAAGGGCAGGCTGCTCTTACCATCGCACAGCTAGTACAGTACAATACTTATCTCCGTCGCCGTGAAGGAGATGTTAAGAAGGAAAGGCGAAATAAATCTCGAGAGTCTCCAGTTCCAATCTATGTTGGAGTATCTGTACATGCCAAGACACGCTGCCGTGACCTCGTAGAAATCTTACATAAACTTGGAATCTCTATTTCATATGACAGGGTATTGAGCATCTCCACGGATCTTGGAAATGAAGTGTGTCGCCGCTACTGGCAAGAAGGTGCAGTGTGTCCGTCTAATCTTCGTCTGGGTCTCTTTACAACAGCTGCCGTGGACAATATTGATCATAATCCGAGCTCAACAACATCAAAAGACTCCTTCCACGGCACAGGCATTTCTTTGTTCCAGCATCCATC